GTTTAAAGTCGCATAGAGCGTCTTGGCGAGACAAATCCAACAAGCCTAAAATCGCTTAATTCAGACATCATCAATGCACTCACATGTCCATCAATCATCATTTGCTTGAGGGAAGTCTTCTGAGCTGATCGATCAAACTGATTCATATTCTCTCATTTATTGAAGTTGGGACTCTATAAATAGAGTTACATCTCGCTCATGAGGGGGAGGAGAGCTTGAGGGTTGAGAAAAAACTTGAAGCTTTGAGAAGAAACTAAATTCCAGCACCACTCCTGCCGTCGTCGACCACCGCGGATCGCAGTCAACAACCACCGATAGCTATCAAGCACTCCTACCACCGTCGACCACCACCAATCTCCGTCGGCCACTGCTAGGACTGTAAACGAGTGGAGCATGAGCGAGCTCGGGCTTGGCTCGTGTTCAGCTCGTTTGAAATTGGCTGGTGTTCGAAATGGCTCATGAACGATGTGTTCGTGTTTGGCTCGAAAAATTTATTCATGTTCGTGTTCGGCTCGAATTGACTCATTAGAAAATAAAATTACTAAAATAATTAATTTTTTTAAATAAAATTAAAATAATATTTTTTTTCTAAAAAAAGTCTTTGTATTAATAATTTAATTCCAAACAAATATCAACAATAAATTTCATAAAACATAGATTAAATAAAAAAAAATTCAAGAATAAATTTCATACAAAATTTTACACAAAATGAATATTAATATTTTCTCACAAAATTTTAATTACAAATTTTACAATTTACAAATTAAACAAGAATATCAAAACTACAAAAAAAATCCCAAATAAAAATCAAAATATAAAAAGTAATTATACAAAATTTTACACAAAAGCAATTACATTTATTTATTTATACACATGCACTTATGACTTACATCAACTCAAAAAATTCAAAGAAATACATTAAATTTAAACTCTGCCTTTATACTAATTCTTTGATCTTTATGTTTGACGATCCAATAAGTAGTGATTAGTGAATGACCATGAGTCGGTGGTGACTTTGTACCTGCAATTCATATTTATAAAAATATCACATATGAATAAACAAATTGAGTCTAAAGAATATCATCACTCTAATCACACTAGTAGCAGAAAATCTTATCCCAAAAAATAATAACAAATAAGAAGCAATAGACAGACATTAACGCGAAGTCTTAAGAGAAAAAGAGAGTTTAAAGTTTTTTAAGTACCCTAAATCATCAAAAAACATCACTGCAATTGTTATATCAGGTTTTCTGAAGTAGAAGTCTCATTGCCATCAGGATTCCACCAGATTTTCTGAGTTAGATGCTTGCGCGTAATAGTTGAATCAACAAGCAGCAGTATCTCCCATTTCTTTTAGAATGTGCGCCTACCAAGTTATCAAAAACAAAAATGATCCTAAACAAATCCTTACCCAGTCCAAAAGGTGGAGGTTTCCTAGATCCGTTAGCTTGGTGACACTCTTACCAGTAATTATTTGCAATGCAACAATGCCAAAACTGTATACATCTGCCTTTAATGCCAAGTAGCCCGATGTTACATACTCAAGTGCCATATATCCCTTGAATGCTTTACAAGTTAGAAGACAATAATTACTTAATTTGTTTGCGAGAGGAATATCAGAGAATTCCTAAACATAACATTCCAATTTGTGATAGTGTGAGATGCCAAGCAGTTGATGACCCAAGAAAAGCATCAAGGATGTATGGGATGCTAAGTTTGAATAAAAATATCAAGTTATCTCTTGATAAGTTGAGAATAACCAGCCAAGAATAACATCAGCGAAGAATAACCAATTGATGCATGCAGGTATTTCCCAAGTTTGAATAGTGACATAAGCTTCAGCAAGAAATTGAACATAGAATACATCTTATATGAACAAAAACATCTGTAAATGTTATTGGTAAGGCATTAAAGCATTAAGGATATATGGGATGCTAAGTTTGAATCAGAATATCCAGTTATCTCTTGATAAGCTAAGAATAACATCAACGAAGAATAACCAATTGATGCATGCAGGTATTTCCCAAGTTTTAATAGTGACAGCAACTTCAACAAGAAATTGAACATAAAATAGTATGGTATTATTAGTATATTAGTATGGTGTTATTAGTGTGATTGTATGGCTATGTTATGGTGTTATTAGTATAATAGTATGGTGTTTTTGTGATACAAACATGGTTATATTGTGGTGTTTTTAGTGGTTGTATTGTGGGGTTAATAGTGTGGTTGTATAGCGGTGTTATTAGCATGATATTATGATGTTATTGTGATAAAAATATGGTTGTATTTTGGTGTTATTAGTGGTTGTAATATTGTGTTAATAGTTTGGTTATATAGTTGTAGTATTAGTGTATTATGATGGTGTTATGGTGATACAAATGTGGTTGTACTGTGGTTAATAATGATTTTAATGTGGGTTAATAGTATGATTGTATAGTGGCATTATTAGTGCGGTATTATGACATTATTGTGATAAAAATATAGTTGTATTGTGGTGACATTAGTGGTTGTAATGTGATAGTAATAGTGAAGTTGTATAGTGGTGTTATTAGTGTGATATTATGGTGTTGTTGTGATAAAAATATGGTTGTATTGTGGTGGTATGGTAGTATTATGATAAGTTAAAATTTTATTAAGCAAACTATGGATAAACATGTTAAAAAATAAGAAATCAAACGTAGGGAACGTGCAGCACTTTAAATTTAATAGGCTGAACAGAATAAACACTCATTCATGTTAGCAAATTATTATACAATTAGGGAACAAAATTTAAACAGGAGAATATAATATAAACTGGTCAGAACTTAGTATCAAAATATTAAAGTTGGATTATGCTTAATGTACTTGTACTCTTTTGTTCAAAAACAAGTTAAGCCAACTTAAAACTTTTATTTGAGCGTTGAGCAGCATATTATTTTTTTAGCATGCATAAAACCATTATTGGGATTTGGCGGAATGAGCATAATACATCCATGTACATGCATTAGGATTTGGCGGAATGAGCATAATACATCCATGTACAGGCATTTCACAAAGATGCATGTATTGTTTAGAATAAACCACAAAATTGAAACTGATAAAGTTCCAAAAAACTTTAGAAAAAGAGATGTTATTGTTTTGAAAAAGTAAGGGAAAAAACATTGTATTCTTCACAAAGTCATCCATGAAAAAAAAAATCTGATCTTAAGGCAATAATCAAACCACAACATAAACGCTTAAACCTGTATGAATCACCCCACAAATGAGCAATAGCCGAACTAAATATCACAACAAAATTCTTAAGTTTGATCTCATCTATAAAAAAACAAATATAAATGCAAAATACGAGCTTTTATTGCCAAAATCCTATAAAACTAAGTTTAACTCAAAAAATCTAAATAAATCTAAAAGAAAATTAAGAAAACATAAACGCTTAAACCTGTATGAATCACCCCACAAATGCGCAATAGCCGAACTAAATGTCACAACAAAATTCTTATGTTAGATCTCATCCATAAAAAAACAAATATAAATGCAAAATACGGGCTTTTATTGCCAAAATCCTACAAAACTAAGTTTAACTCAAAAAATCTAAATAAATCTAAAAAAAAATTAAGAAAACATAAACGCTTAAACCTGTATGAATCACCCCACAAATGCGCAATAGCCGAACTAAATGTCACAACAAAATTCTTATGTTGGATCTCATCCATAAAAAAAACAAATATAAATGCAAAATAAGAGCTTTTATTGTCAAAATCCTACAAAACTAAGTTTAACTCAAAAAATCTAAATAAATATAAAAGAAAATTAAGTAAATTTAAGATAAGAGGGGAATCTGAAGAAAAATATGAAATATTAGAGAAAATATATTCAGAGATAACACCTAGCTAGCCAAACAATCAACCAAGCAAGAATATCGAGCAATCGAGCCAACACTGACCATCCGAGGAAAAATAGAAGAAGACTAACACAGATGATAAACCTTAAGCTCTTGCGATAGAAAGGATTTTGAGAGAAGAAGGAGAAGAGTCAGAAGAGGGAGAGGCAGACGAACCCGAGAACTTTCGAGAAGGGAATGGGGACTTGGAGTGGGGAGGGCAGGGTTAGGGTTTTTTTCATTATATGGTATATATATTAAAATATGATAATTTATTTTAAAAAAATTGATTAATTATAATTTATAATATTTAATTTTATGAATATTTATTATATATATATATATATATATATATGTGTGTGTGTGTGTGTGTGTGTGTGTGTGTGTGTGTGTGTGTGTTTGTGTTCGGCTAAATGAGCTTAAAAATTTGTTTGTGTTCGACTCATTAGGCTTAACGAACGAGGCGAACATGGGTTGTTTGAAGAGTCCACACGAGTCCTAACCACCACTGATAGCCGTCGACCACCAACAAGCACTATCGATCATCATCGACCGAATGCTGCCAATCAATATCGGTGGCAGCCACTCGACGATGTAACTTGGGAAACATAGTAACTTATTCTCGTCTGTGGGGCAAGTGGTTGTAATTGTAATCATCTTTTTATAGTAAAATATTCAGCCAAGTGAGACTGATTTTTTCCTTTCCGCATTTTTCACATAAAAACTTCTAATATCATCATTGATTGTTTTTTTATTTTCTATGTGTGTGTTAAATTTTCTTATCACGCTAAGGCGATACTCTGCGACTCCACGCATCAATTTTAATTATTCAAAATTGAACGGAATCTAACCCCATCTAATTGGCTCCATTTAACTTTTGCGATTTAGACCGCTCACATTCTAAAATTGGGTAAAAAAAAAGAAAGAAAGTATAAATATAATAATCTATATTTTTTAATCACTTAAATACATATATAAGCATGATGTTTGCAACAAATATTTATTTAATCAACTAATTTTCCCTCTCCTTAATTAAAGCCCCCCCTCCCTCCTACCTTCCTTCCTCCCCCCCCCATTTATTCTCCCTCCTCCCCCCCCAGCCCCAACCCTCCCTCCCCTC